AGCACAGTGTCACAGGGAGCCTGGTAGGGTGCAGGCAGCATGGGCATCCTACCTGACACGAGAGGACCAGCATGTGAAAGAGCTGATGGGTTTTCTTTTGTGTGGGGTGAAGGGAAGTTGCTTTTATGTGTTTGAACATGACCAACATATTCAGCTTCACAACTGACCATTCCAGAAAAGGCCAAAAGTGTCTCTGAGATGGTTCCCACCCACCCCCCGCCTCCCACATTGCCAGGCCAGTGAGTTATACTATCCATGTAGCTCTTATTTAAGGCTGGAAGGGGCAGGGGTGCAGCATCTGCTCCCCATGCAAAGGAATGAGCAGGGCTCAGGTCCTAGCAGCAGATGCTGATTTCAATGAGGCACATTGTCTCTTCATGCTGTTTGTCTGGCCCTGTGTCTCAACTTCTTGGTGGCTGGAGGAACGTTTGACTTTCTCATATAAGTCAAGTACCAGAAATAAAGCATGCTGGAGCCTGCACAAGAGAGACAGGAGACCCAGGCCTCTAGGCACACATGCGGTGAGCCCATGACAAAAGTCCCACACCCTGCAGTATCTAGTCCACACATTTGGTGGCTGCCTCTGCTCCCCACCCCACAGCTCCTCCAGTGTCACCCCCTGGTTTATCTTCATTCCCTATTCTGCCACTCATTCCTGCTCTTAGTTTTTAGTGGGCATAGCTGCAGAGGCCCCCGTGTGTTGGGTGCTGCTCCCCCCTTGCCCCGGTGAGAGACAGACCCTGCTCCAAAGCGCTTACAGGCTAAAAAAAATCAGCTAGACAGAGTGGGCGCCCACAAGCAGCAACAGTCCCATTTTACAGATGGGAGCCTGAAAGACACAGACATTAAGTGACTTGCCCAAAGTCACACAAGGAGTCAGTAGCAGAGCTGGGCATTGAACCATGATCACCAGAGTTCCAGCCCAATCTCTTAACCCGACCCTGGCTTCCTCAACAAACTAGATGTTGTTTGTCATGAACATGCAGGAGAAAAGGGTAAGCAGACCCATCCCTTTTATATGTATCCTCAATCCCTCAGCATCTCCCCAGAGCCACATTAGCTAGGGTTTGGGCATCTCCTGGATTCTTATGCTCTTGGCTTTATTTCCCTCCCTCCTTCATTCCAAGATATCTCTTTATTAGTCCATGCACCAAGGCACTGCTCCCACAGCAGCAGCTATGGGATACACTTTCCCCATATTTCCTGTGGCAGCACCTCTCCCTGCCCCAGGGATAGCGGACTCTGGACTTTCTACTGGGCTGATAGGGTACTTGGCTCTTTTTGGGAATGGACAAGCTCACTGAGGGCATCCATCAGGGGATAGCTTGGGGCCAGGCAGCCGCCCCCTACTTCCATTCCTGCTTGCTCTGTCATGCTGGCTTGCTAGCAAATGTCTTTCCTGAATGGACTGCACTTCCTCCATTTGTCTCCTGCAGGGGAAGAAGTCTATGGCTGACTGGTGATACTGGCAAGAATGGGATGGTGGGGACAGACATGCAGGGTACTGCAGTTCAGACTCTCCCCCGCAACAATGACTGTACTTCCACTCCACCTTATGATAGCTCTGCATCTCTTGGGAAAAGCAGCGATGTGCTAGTACATGGAGGTTAACACAATCAACAGGCAACACACTAGCCCTGCTGAGTCATTGAGTTTCCCATTTACGAAGGACACTGCATTCTTGACATGCCGAGACCACTGTACATGTGTCTTGGGCACTTGGTTGTCTGCAGCATACTTTGTGCCTGGGTGATCTCAGAGTACCTGCTATAGAAGATATGCAAAGCAAGATCCACCCAGGGCCCATGGGCTGCATAACAAGCTACTCTCAAAGCTGGCGTGGGGGCAACAGGCCAGCGTGTGAAAGTGCCTTGATCACACATTAATTATTTAAGCCTCTCACACACAAGGAATGAGTCAGTGTCAGAGCTAGAAACAGAGTTCAGGAATTCATGGTCCCTAGTACTGTCTCTACTAGCCTCACTCTTCACCTTTCCCAGGTGGTCCTGGGCCTGACACTCAACTGTTGGCCATTTGTATTTAGCAGCAAATTGATTAAACATACACATTTGCTGAGAGCCAGTCTCTCACTCCATGGCACCTGCCCCACAGGACTATGAGAGCATTTCCAATAGTTTATTTGGAGGACAAATATCGCACATGCTGCTGAGAATTAGAAGAGACACCCCAAGTCACTGGACATCTGCCTCAGTGTTTGGGATTTGAGTCCTGGCACATGACTCAGTTGCCAGTGAGGGCCTGTGTACCCTCCCCTTCCCACTATACAGAAACATGATTAAAAGGTGGGTTGTATGCCAATATAAATGGGTGGTTTACTCCTAATTGTGAAGCTTGAGTTGGTGCCTGTGGAAAACTCGCTTCAAGGTGGTGTCTCATAAAAAGCAAAGCACAATTAATCTGGGATTCTTTCAGTCAACTGACCACAGGAGGAAGTAGGCTTCCTCAGTAAGAAATTCCCATAGCCCTCTCCATGGCTTAACGAGTTTCTTTGTGAGCACCCCGTAGGCAAGCCAGAAATGACCTCAGAAAGGCTGAATCACCTATCCTGGACTGTTACAAACCAAAACAGATGGCATGAAGCCACCCTTAAAGTCTTTGATTCCTCTAATGATCACAAATATTACATGTGCAGTTACTATGCGTGGCACCTGCACTGACCAGGTCTATTCACTTTGGCAGAATATTAAAGAGTTGGATTGAATGGGGCATGAGGGCATCTCCAATGCCCATGATTAGGCACATATTCTTTGATTCAGAGTTTTTCAATTGTTTTAGGTCTAATCAAGCTTCCAATTTGTTTCAGGTGGAATAACTGGGCATAAGAATTACTATCCCTCAGAGTTCATCCCCAAGGAGATCCTGACCCAGAACTGCTGGTGAAAGATTTTCTTCAGTTCTAAGTCAAGTAGCATTTAAGTGGGCTCTAATCTGAAATATATTAACTCCTGTTGCCAAAATATCATTTGCCAGTTGGAGCTGGAAATTTGTTTGTCTAATCCTGGCATCAGCCCTGCCTTTTCCTGCTGTTGGGGTGTGAGATAAGCCTAGCCCCCTCAAGCTCTGCCTTGTACATAAGTGTCCTCATGTCTGGGAGACCATCAAAGCCAGGTATTGTTACAGTAATGAAAGTGGTGTAACCTTAAAGCAATGCTGTTAGTTCATTCCTTTTCTTGGCATGGTATGTTCAGCACTGGAAACTTAACTGACTTGGCATTTCCCATCCCAGCTGTGGATGCAACACCGAGTGCACACTAGCCCAGTTTCTGACTTGGAAAGTTGATAGTAGCTATTCTTAGGACCCCGCTTTCCTGCTAGTGGGTTTCTGAATGACCTTCTAGGCCAGAGAGACACTTTAAAACCCTTTAAATGACATTTAAATAGCATGAGCCAATATTTTGGTAATTGGTTATTGTTCTATATGACAGGATAAAGGGCTCTGATTTTATTCTGTTCTTACTTCTAGCTCTCTGTGCAATTCTTAGCCTCAGAGAAGGGACACTGCACCTTAATTGGAATGTTATTTTGCTTGCATGTGCTGTGCATATGTATGATTGAATTCCACAGCTGTCTTTGTACTCTGAAATGGGGTGAGCCTGGCAGGAGATGAATCCAGGTGCTTTTCAATTAATTGTTTAATAATACAGCCCTTGAGATGATGTCTGCAGCATGGAGGGAATGAATGCAAATGTATGGGTCAGATGAAGCATTTTAAAGGTAATACAGAGAGTCAGCCCGGGGGCTGGGCTCCCATATCAGTTTGCTTATGTTTCTGTATGTTATGTTACAGCAGTTGGCAAGAAACCATTCTGTCCTGGGCGACCAATACAAATAGACAACAAAATGTTCCTGGTGACTGCTCCATTTTCCTGTGAAATACAGAATTCCTGAACGTACGGGAGCTCTAGAGGCCATTAAGTTACCAGAGCAGGATAGTGACCTGAGTCTCATGTCACCTCCTCCATCTGCAGCAGAGTACAGGCTAAGCACCTCAAAGGATTCAGAACAGCCTTCTTGGAAGGTCAGGGTCCCAACCTCAGGGGGAGGAGCTTAGTGGACTGACTCCCAGGTGAACCTCTAAGGAAAGATGTGACAAGGGACCTAGTACAGTCTTGAGGAAGCCAGAGGCAGGGGTCAGGTTATTAGAAATGACCCAAATAATGTGATTTCTAAGGGTTTTTGGTGTTGTCTCCTACGTGCATTCCACTCACAATGTGTCTGACAATGCAACTGGACTCTCCTGAGGAGAGTCAAAAGGCCCATAAGGGGGTGGTAGTACTTGGCCAGGCTGAATGCTTCAAGGGACTCCAACTGTCTCTTATTCTTTCCTAAATCACCTCTTTGTTTTTTTGGCTATTTCCTTTCATATGGAACATGGTTAACTGTTACAATGTCAGTGTATTTATCTGGCACTCCCTCCAATCTAATATTAGTGGCAGTGAATATGCAAGATATGGTGCCACTTTGAGATTAGTTTGTGGTTAATGGCGTTGATACAAAGAATTTAGCAGGAATTGGGGCAGTGATCTGAGGGCATACGATTCCCCTTGATTTTGGATATGGGGATTTGGATATGGGCATCATATTTATAGGTTTAATGACTCATACCAACCTGCCAAAATGTGCAATCAAGGTTATACATCCCTCTGCTTCCTAATACTGGATGCCTTGTGCTGCAGCTCGATTTAGGCTCTTTGCACCTCCTCTGTGATTCATATCAAGGTGTATTCAGGGCCTGCACACATGCTGTCAGCATCCTTTCTACTACAGGCTGTACAGCAGCAGGAAAAACAACAGCACCACAACTATATCTGCTCGGTTTGTCAACAGTGATCAGGCAATGTGATATTCAAAGGAGATGGGGCAGCCATACAATTTAAAAAAAGGCTGTAAGACTTTGAACACATCACAGGAGCTGTTGGGACAAAGAGGCAAAAACGTGACATCAAGGATGTGTGAAAGAAAAAGCCCCACAAGTCATCAATAGGAAAAGTTTTTCCATTTAATACTAGACTCTCTCAGGATTGAGATGCAGGCTTTTTATGCAATTACATCCAATGTTAAAATTGGTAATACATAATTTACAAAGATTAACATCAAAACAATGATCTATTTAGATATGCTTTTGTAAAAAGGAAATATATTAGCAGCATTTATTTTCAGCAATCACACAGCCTACACCCATGCAGACTAAGAGTTCATATCTATTTGCAATAATGTAGTGCTTCCTGGTCTTAAAACAGCGATCCTGGTGACACACTGGTCTTCTCATTATTATAAAATAACCAAAAAATAAAAAAAGTCATTAATTTCTACACCAGTAAGAAAAACAATTCTTTGCACTTACCTAACATTTGATTGTCTAAAAAACATTTTGTTTAGTCTTTCAACAAAAGAAAGATAAAATGACAGAGCTAGTGTCTTGCTTCTGTACGCACTTTATTTTTTAAAAAGTTTTTAGTGTTTAACACCGTTTGAGACAATGATTTCTGTTATTAACTAAATGAGACAACCCAAAATTTTGGACATGCGATATTCCTACTACACGCACGAGTATTTTATACTCAGGGTTCCTGGTACTGTACAGTGCTTCTCTACAGTAAGAAAATATTCCAAACTATTTTCTTATTTCTTTTTTTAATAAAATATTTTTTTTCCTCAAAGGGTTTTTTCCTTTCTTTTTTTTCTTTTTAAATCAACACATAAAAGTTAATGGAATGAGTCATGTTCCACTAAGAGTAAAATAATAATTATAATAATAACAAGAATGTACATTAGGACAAGCTTGGTCCATTAAAAAGGAACATGTAACTACCGTATTGCTTTACATCCACGCAGCAGATATATACAACTTGGCACATTAAAAACTGGTTTTTCTTATAAGAACATCTAAAACAGGACTGTATATGCATATGTACGTCTGAAAGACAAAAAAGCAAAGCTATTTTAAAGGGGCAGTGTATGCCTACTGCCCCCTCCCTTTGCCACTAGCAGGGCCTGACCCAGAGACAGATGACAGCTTCACGGCACTGGCTATTGGGGAAAGTTACATGTTGAAATATAGGGGATCCCAGTACAGCACTAGTTTATGGCAAACTATGGCAATCACAATTTCATGCAGTGAAAAGTTAGCGCCTTGGCTGTAGTCTTTGGCAGCAATACTTTCATAACGGCAGAGAGAGGGAGTGGTAAAATACACTGTCTCTTTAAGAGACAGACGTTTTAAGCTGTACAGTTAGAACACAAGAATAGTGTTATTAGTTGATATATTCTACAGTTCACAACAAATACTCGCTCTGAATACTGCTTGACGGTTCATGTAGTGAAGGTTTCTTTTTTTTTCTTCTTTTAACAGATTTTAATTTGCACAACACATTGGACACACAAGAACCACAGCTTATCAAAAAAAACCAACAGCAATGGCGTCGTCAGGATTTGACTCGCTTTATAAAATTTATCTGCAGAAAAAATGTGAAAAATTACACACCCCCATTTCAGGATGTGGAACAACAAGTGCTTCAAACAACCAACTCTCGTTTCACTCTGAGCTGACTGGGGGCTTTTCCTCTCTACAGATCAAAGGAGCATCTGGGCACTGGCCGTTTCACGGTGAACCTTTTATACATCCTGGTACATTTCTTTCCCCTCTGAACTTGTGCAAATCTGAGGCCGCTCCTTTATGGCAGCCTTTATTTTAATCCACTGGGCCTTCACCCTCCCTACAGACTTCATACATTGGTACACACCACTGGCAGTGCCAACAGTATCTTGTACAATCATAGGACGACTGGTCTGTATGGGGAATATTCTCATCAGAGTAAATCACACCCTTCTATTTTCCTCCCCTTTTTCCCTCCAAGTGGGGACATTAAGCAAAAATAAATTAAATCTGACCATCTTGGACAAATAATCACAAGGTTTTCTCAGTACCTAACATCAATACAAGGCACGCCCAACAACACACACATCATAAGAGCACTGCAGAGCAAGACAGGGCCACCTGCCTGCTCAGACTTCTAAGTGCTAACTGTATTTATGTCAGTTTTCTTCTACCCTCCTCTTCTTGGTTAGTGTACAGAAAGGAGGGGGCTTCCCCGTCAGTCTCTAGCAGACCTGGTAGTGGACTCCAGATCACAGTCTGTTGTTGGAACATCACTTCCTGAAGCTGCTCTCCAGGATGGTGAGAGTACGCCTCCTCAATTTTCTTCCTGATCCTTCCTCCAGCAGGTAAGTGACATCAATAGCTGCAACAGACCACAGGGCTCTTAGTAAGGAGCTGATACAATACAATTCATTGTACCGGATGCTCTAATATTAATCCATGTAACATGACAGAGAAGTGTGGTCTACTGGTCTGAGCACAGAAACTCCTAGGCTTTCATTCTGGTCTTACGTAAACTCTCTCTAAGGCATAGGGCACGTCTCTAAAGAACTGATCCAAAGCCCACTGAAGTCAATAAGAGTCCTTTAATTCACTTCAAAGGGCTTTGGATACAGCCCTCAATCTCGTGCCTTTCTCTCAATCTTCTCATCTGTAAACTAGAGACAATAATAATTAAACTACCTATCTCACTGGAGGGAGGGAGTGAATAATTAGTAATGACAATGGGCTGTGAAAAAGTCCTATATAAATGCCTGTTTCATTATTAACAGGAGATTTCACTCAGATATTTAGTGGGAATTGCAAATGCTTCATAAGTAGGGCCCTACCAAATTCATGGTTCATTTTGATCAATTTCACGGTCATAGGATTTTAAAAATAATCAATTTCATGATTTCAGCTATTTAAATCTGAAATTTCATGGTGTTGTAATTGTAGGAGTCCTGACCAAAAAAGGAGTTGTGTGGGTTGCAAGATTATTGTACAGGGGGTTGTGGTACTGCTACCCTTACTTCTGCGCTGCTGCTGGCGACGGCACTGCCTTCAGAGCTGAGCAGGTGGAGAGAGGCAGCTGCTGGCCGGCAGTCCAGTTCTGAAGGCAGAGTCACCACCATCAGCAGTGCATAAGTAAAGATGGCAGGTACGGTCTTGTCACCTTTACTTCTGCGCTGCTGCCTGCAGAGCTGGGCCCTCAGTCAGCAGCTGCCACACTCCGGCCACCCAGCTCTGAAGGCAGCAGCGCAGAAGTAAGGGTAGCATGGTATGGTATTGCCACCCTTACTTCTGTGCTGCTGCTGGCAGGGCGCCACCTTCAGAGCTGGCCACCTGGCCACAGCTGCCACTCTCTGGCCACCCAGCTCTGAAGGCAGTGCAAGAAGTAAGGGTGGCAATGCTACGACTCTCCCTAAAATAACCTTGCGATCCCCCTGCAACTTCCTTTTGGGTCAGGACCCCCAATTTGAGAAACACTGGTTTCCCCTGTGAAATCTGTATAGTATAGGGTAAAAGCACATAAAAGCAGATTTTATGGGGGAAGACAAGATTTCACAGTCTGTGATGTGTTTTTCATGGCTGTGAATTTGGTAGGGCCCTGTTCATAAGAATGGCCCTACTGGGTCAGACCAAGGGTCCATCTAGCCCAGTATCCTGTCTTCCGACTGCGGCCAGTGCCAGGTGCCCCAGAGGGAATGAACAGAACAGGTAATCAAGTGATCCATCCCCTGTCGCTCATTCCCAGCTTCTCGCAAACAGAGGCTAGGGACACCATTCCTGCCCATCCTGGCTAACAGGAAACATTTGTGCAGAGAACACTGGACACAAAATCATGTCCAGTAGCAATGAGTTCAGTTAAAAGCATTTGCTTTACTAATATGCCATGCATGACTCCAAAAACAAACCTAGAGAGGAAATCACTGTATTGCAGTGTACTGACGGAAGGGGTGCTTGCTCACCATTTTTCCCTGGGATTTTCTCTAAGAGGTTGAGCAGGATTTGATTAAGTCTCTCTCTCTGAATATGCCGCCTTTCCTCTGGAGTGCACAGTTGCCTTGTGACAGAGTTACTTTCCTCCACCTTTTTATCATTCTCACAGCCTTCACTAGAGACTGCTTCTCTCTCTGGCTCTTCCAGGCTACGCATCTCATTTGAAGCTTGTTCTTGGCTTGCTAGCACATCCTCAATGAGTGGAAGAGGATCTTCTTCTTGGTTCAGGTCTTTGATCTGTGGCTTTGAGCGGACCGTCTTCCAGGATGATCTAGCAGGGAGAGAGAGGTGTAAAAATCATAGTTTTGGACACACCTGACAGGAAGGTCAATTGTCAATGAGTCAGGAACCCCAGCTGTGGAGTGGCTTACGAATTTTCTATGGTTTGGAGCCAATCATACAGTAGTATCCTTGGAGGGGAAATCTGCAGCCAGACACCATAATTATAAAGCATGAGAGGCAATGCCCATAGCATTAGCTTACCTTGCAAAACTGCAAATGTTATTGCACATTTCCCGCGTTACTTCTGCATATTTAAAAAATAAAACATATTTCTCCTCCTACCCTGAAAATTTTTTTTCCAAGTGCTTAAGCTCATGATCCACTGAGAACTTGCTCTCTAATCTTCAACAGTCTTGACTACTGTTTTTAACCCCCCAAATGGCATAAGACTGTGGAATCTCTGAGCCTCATCCTGATGTCAATCTGCATCACCCTCTGCTCAGGGATCTCTAGTGGCTATTCTGCCTTTGCAGGGTGGGCCCTACGGTCTCCCATGACATGTCTCAAACCGTTTCTGCCCACTTTCAAGAGCACCTAACCCCCATCTCTTTCTGCAAATGTGTTTCAGGAGGATTGCTGCTGGCTCCATATTTATTACCATTCCCCCACACTCGTATCTGTTTGAATTTTGAGCAGGTTGTTTTTTAATTACTTCGCTTTTCTGTTTTTACAGCCTCTCAAGGGTATTGATAGGGCATGGGTGCTTTACAAATAAAAACAACTGTCCCATCTCTTTCACTAAAGAACAACTCAGTAGGTAGGACTCACCTGCCTCCATTTCTCTTGTAGTTGTCTGGTACATAATGAGGCTACAACAATAATAAAGGTCACAGTTAAACAAACAAAGCACTAAGAACTAAGCATTGGACAGTATAAAAATATCACAAATTAAATCCAATGTAGAAGGAAGAGCTGGCCTGCCTCATGCATTGGACTTTAGTGGCTGAGGAAAAGGGATTGTGACCCATCATTATAAATACAGGGTGCAGGCAGAGAGCTAATCACCCCTTAGCACCAGCCCCTATTACTCCTCTCTCAACACTGTAGCCCTCTAGGTCACCTGGGTAAGTTTCAAAACCAGTGGGATATTTTGCTTTAAAACACTGCTATTCAGAAAGCCTGATTTTCCCTCTGTGGGAATATGGATAGAATCTCTAGATCATATACAAGAGCTCGCTGCTCCTGAGGAGGAGAAACAAGCTCAGCTATGAAAGCTCTGCCAAGTCTGGTGCTTCTGAGCTTGGGGGACTAAGCTGCTGACACTGCTAGAGGTAGGGGTGTGTACAGGGAGCAGCTAGTACTTCCAGGGAGTGGGGTGGTGAGTGAGAGAGACAGGGAAATGTGAAGTTATCAATGCTTGAGATAGGGAGGGGCACCGCACTCCATGGTCTGGCAGCTTATCTGGAGTTCTCTTCTTGATAAAAGACATGTAATTTTCAGTGCTGAAGGTCAATGATATGCAATTTGATGGAGCTGAGAGAGAGAAATTTGAAATTACGCCTGTTCTATTGAGAACCATTGTTTAGGGTTGACTAATCAAAACAACTTTTAGCAGAGCAATGGGCTTGGGATAGTTAGACACAGAATGTGGGACGTGCTTACACTGTAAGCGGCTTGGGACAGGGAGCAAGTCTCTAAATAAATTAATGTTAATAATGTTACTATTAATATTTATGCCCAGGGGTACAAAGCCAGCACAGACAGGGTAACTGTGGGGCTATTTTCTGTGAAGTTCATTGAAATATGAAAATGTTCTGCAACTGCTGAATTGTTGCTTGAGTCAAGGTTCAAGTTTTCTCTAGCCAGGAATGTCTTTGGTGAAAGCAGCACTGGGGTTTCTGTTGGAAACCAGGATGTTCAGCCTTGCACATCTCCATTCGTTCTAAGTGCATTTGAGAATTGGCAATGATCTGCCTGCAATCAATTTTCTTTTCAGATTCTTTTCTGATCAACTTTCTATCCAGTCTGAGTGTAATGTTTACATGTCAGTTCTCCTTGGTTTACCAGGCTTCATTCAGAAGCAGGGAGGCAACAGTTTTCCGAGACTGTGTTCTGTATTATATTAAGAAGCTGAAAGGTCATGAGAAGAGACACTTACTGAGAAGTCTCTCTTGGGTGTGAGTTTCTTGGGGAAGTGGTCAAAGGCATACGGCTTGGTGCAGACAGGATAGCGATTCCGGTGGATTTTATAGAAGAGGTGGGCTGATTTATCAAGGCGGTAATCACAGATGTACACATCCTGCTCCTTCACTCCTTTTGGCCTCCCTGCAGTTATAGCAAAAACCAAAGTGCATATAGCATTCCAGGACAAGAACAAACAGCATATACTATGGTATAGAGATGTATTGTGCGTACTTACACTGAGGTCCCAGCTACACTTGTTCTACTCAATTCAGATTCATAACAAACAGGGGAATCTCTAATTCATTTTAAGAAAGAAACTTCCTTGCTCTAATCCCACTACACACCCATCCACATTTACAATATATGAAAAAAGTAATGAGTAGAAAAGGAAAATGCAAGGAGGTGGGGCTGAGGAGAGCTGATGTGAAGGGTAAGAGGAGGAAGGGAGCATTCTCTATTGTATGTGGAGAAAGACAAATCCCAATGTGTTTATTTTCTCACCGAGTAAAGCCTGCTTACCTTTACAGTAGGTGTAGAGGTCCAGCACACAGCAAGTCCCCACCACAGCCTCTAAGGGGATAATCTCATACAGTGGCACCCGGAACAGCTCATTGTGATAAAACCTTCGGGAAGGGGAGTGGTGGGTTTCATGTGGACGGAAATAATGATGACCAAATGCAAACCGCTCCTCTCTGTTAAAAGGTGTGAGAGAGAGAGAGACTATTTCCCTTGAGCTGTGGTTTTGACTTCACTTTATGCCCTATACTCACCACTCTTTTTGAATTATCTATATTGCCCTTTTAGCATTGGTTATGACCACAGACAAGGTCACACCAATGAGCCTTGTGTTTTCTTGTTTACCCCTTCAGCAAATACCAATAATAATTCCAGTCTGATCTCTAGATCTTGTGTCATAAAAATAACCTTTTCTTTACACTCTTTAAAGAAGACTATTACAAGTTATTCTGTTTTCGGCAGATACCCAAAATGTCTTGAGTGCAGAAGATGCCTTGAACATACTTTTCATTTTTCCAAAGTTTTTCTATGCGGAAGATATCAAGTTTCTCCCTGTTAATGTGGGATAGCAGCCGGTAGGACTGCCGGACAGGGTGCCCATCTGGAGTTCTTCGGCTGTCTCTCATCAGATATACGCAGTCACCTGGCAATAGGCAGAAGAGACACATCCTGTAAAGAATGTCTCATTTGACACAGTGGCCCAAAAACAGAGAAGCGGCTGGTTTAGTTAAAACAATAACATGACACAGCTGCCCCATATTTAATTCTGAAAGAGTAAAATACAACTAATGCAGAGCCAGTGAACAAGGGTCAGATTGCCTTGGTCTTCTTCATGACACATTCTACTAGCAGAGAATGAAACATAACTTGAATTTTATGTCCCCAGCCAAATGTGACGACAGATTCATCGATTCCAAGGCCAGAAGGGACCACTGTGATCAGTGGTTTGACCTCCTGTATAACACAAGTATGGACCTTCTCCAAAGTAATTCCTATAACATATCTTTTTAGAAAAACATCCACTCTTGATTTCAAAATTGTGAGTGATAAAGAATCCACCATGACCCTGGGTAAATGGTTCTAATGGTTAATTACCCTCATTGTCAAACAGTTACTCCTTACAGCCAGTCTGAATTTGTCTAGTTTCAACTTCCAGCCGCTGGATCATGTCATGCCTTTTTCTGCTAGACTGAAGAGCCTATAATTAAATATTTGTTTCCCATGTAGACACTTACAGACTTTACTCAAGTCACCCCTTAATTATCTTTTTGTTAAGATAAATAGATTGAGCTCCTGGAATCTCTCACTATAAGGCATGTTTTCTAATCCTTTAATCATTCTCATGGCTCTTCTCTGAACCCTAATTTATTAACATTCTTCTTGAATTGTGGGCACCAGGAATGGACAAAGTACTTCAGCAATGGTCACACAAGCACCTAATACAGAGATAAAATAACCTTTCTAGTCCTACTTGAGATTCCCCGATTTATTCAACCAAGGATCGTATTAGCCCTTTTGGTCACAGCGTTGTACTGGGAGATCATGTTCAGCTGATTATCCATCATGACCCCCAAATCTTTTTCAGTCACTGCTTCCAAGGATAGAGTCCCCCATCCTGTAAGTATAGCCTATGTTTTTTGTTCCTAGATGTATACATTTAGCCATATTAAAAACACATATTTTGTCTTGCACCCAGTTTACCAAGAGATACATGGTGCTCTGAATCAGCAACCTGTCCTCTTTATTATTTACAACTCCCCTAATTTTTATGTTATCTGCAAACTTTATAGTGAGGATTTTATATTTTCTACCAAGTCATTGATAAAAGCATAGGGACAAGAACCAATCCCAAATCAAGAAACACACCTGACCGATGAAGATTCCCTGTTAAGTTTTTAATCCACTTAATATGTACCATGTTAATTTAATCTAGTTTTTTAATCAAAACATTATGTAGCACCAACTCAAACACCTTACAGAAGTCTAAGTATATTATGTTAACGCTATTACCTCTATCAACTAAACGTGTAAACTTATCAAAAGAAGATATCAAGTTAGTTTGACACAATCTACTTTCCATATACTCATGTTGATTTACATTAATTACATTATTCTCTTTAAATTCTTTTTTAATTGAGCCCTGTATCAGGCGCTTCGCTGTCTTGCCAGGGATTGATGTCCGGCTGACAGGCCTATAATTACCTGGGTCATCCTGTTTATCCTGATACAACTGATCAGTTAAACTGATACAACATTAGCTTTTATCCAGTCTTCGGGAACTTTCCTGATGCTCCAAGGCTTATTGAAAAATCAACATTAATGGTCCAGTGAGCTCCTAAACCAGCTCTGTTAAAATACTTGGATGCAAGTTATCTGGAACTGCTGATTTTAAAATGTTTAACTGCAGTAGCTTCTGTTTGACAATAATGTGCTATCACCACATGATGAGACTATATCATGTTTTTTCCCCATATTTAATTCTGAAAGAGTAAAATACAACTAATGCAGAGCCAGTGAACAAGGGTCAGATTGCCTTGGTCTTCTTCATGACACATTCTATCAGAACAGAAATATTTATTGAACACTTCTGTATTATTAATGATTATTCTATCATTTCTATCTAGTAATGGATCAATACCATTGTCAGTATTCTTTTTGTTCCTATATATTAAAAAATCCCTTCTCCTTATTGTCCTTAACTCTGCTGGCCATAGATTTCTATCTGTGTCCCTCTGCTTCCCTTATCAATTTTCTACAATTCTGAACTCCTGATTTATTTTCATTACTATCAACTTCCCCTTTTTTCCAATTTTATATCTATAATCTAACTATAAAAAAACAGCTGCCTTCACTCTCTTCTAAACCAGATTGTTTTTTATAACCAGCACAGCCTTCTTCCTCAATTGTGTTTTATTGGGGATCTAGTAAGGAGTTCTTAAATGATTCCCAATTATCAGTCTCATTTTTCTGATTAAATTCTTCCTCCCAGCTGATTGAGCTCATAACTGTTTTCAGCTTTGTGAAATTCGCCCCATTAAAGTACCAAGTATATATATTACTTGTGCGCTTTATTCTGCTTTCACATTATAAATGCAACCAAGTCATGGTCATGTGCACCTAAGCTACTATTAATTATTAGCTCAGTTATCAGTTCTTCTTTATCTGTTAGGACAAGGTCTAATAAAGAGTTCCTCCCCGTTGTCTACAACATTTGAGAAAATAAAAATAAATTATCATAGGGGGTAGGACTGACCGCAAAAGAGGATTTGGCTAGTAAAACGTTATTCAAATTTGTAATCATAACTGTAATGTTCTCTAGACTACCTAAAGAACAGATCATTGATGAGAAAGTAGATCATTGATCCAAAAAGCACTAAGCTCTGACTACTCTCAGAACTCTAACAGGAGTAAAGCTCCTGAGAGATACATGCAGCTCAGGGGAAATGGATTAAAGAGGGCCAAGCAAAGGGAACATTCTTGAGAATTGTGACTCTTTGCTCAGTGTAACCATGGGACAGTTCCATGAACTTCTGCTTGTTCTTTACCAATGAAAGGAAGAAACAGTAGGGAAGTGAGTGTGGCCCAGAACTCAGAGCAAGCGAGAATGCTAGAGAAATGCACAGCGTCATTCAAAATGCCACGGGATTTAATGTGCAATATTTTAAAAGATATTTCCAACTGTATTTGAATCCATTCACAATGAATGAAAAGCTGTGAAAGCCCCAGGAGAGCAAGTTCTTCAGCCCAAGACAATTAGTGGTTCTGTGTGTGGCCCTGCAAAGCTGAACCCTTTTTACATGCAGACAGAAACTGGTGTTTGTTTGCAAAACCCACTATCCATTTGTATTCTCCCCACAGACTGATATCATCTGGGATGGGAAAAAATAGCTTTTTCAGCTAATTTCTCCGACTTCAGTTCAGAGTAGGTTCAGCCTGTGCCTTGGTTACTTCCAAAGCTTCACACAAGAGATGCCAGACAACTAGGGCTGTAGTCTGAGAAGTGAAGTTCCATGAAGACCTGAAAGATTTCAGGATCCCTGGGCCTTTTCAGTCAATTTTAGGATTAAAATAAAAAAAAAAAAGTTAAATAGATCATTAAAAAAATGTAAAAAGTTAAATAGATCATTTGTCAAATTTGTACATATTAAAAAGGGGCTCTGAGACTCCTCCTCCCAAATCTATTTCAGGGATTTACACTGCTGCCCATCACCGTAGTAACTAAGATATATATATATATATATATATCACACACATACACTGCAATATGTCAAGAAATGATAGACATAAAAATGAAAGCTCTCTTTTCCTGTGTAGCCCTGACATATGCCCTGCTGCCATAGGCCTCTCTTTAAACCCTTTGGCACATGGAGTTAAGGGCTTTTCTTCAGGGAACACCACCTTTTCCTATTAAAAGGCCTGAGAGGCAAACCTTCCATGCTGAGAGAGGCTGCTGGCCACCCAGCTGAACACTGGGAAGCAAATGAGAATGTTGAAAAGCTTTGACATATTAAATTAATAAAGTTTCAGCTTTTAAAGACAGAGAAGCAACTTTAGTCCCCTCTGCCACCCACAGGGAGAGAGTAGAACAACTCCAGCATCTACTGTACATGACTCTCACCTCTTAGAGCATCCTGAAGTAGAAACATGACCAGATCGGTGGCAGGGAGAGCTGTGGCTCAAATGCATTTCCTCACTGACCTCTGGACACAGGGAGAGCTTGTCGGCAAAGCCAGGGCTCAGATGACTAAGTTCTAAACATATTTTCAATTGGACCCAAAATTCAAAGCATATTTTCAATTCACCCAAAATTAATTTTAAACATAAAAAAGAAGCTTACAAGAAGTGGAAGGTTGGACATATGACCAGGGAAGAGTATAAAAATACTGCTCGGGCATGTAGGAATGATATCAGGAGGGCCAAATCGCACCTGGAGCTGCAGCTAGCAAGAGATGTCAAGAGTAACAAGAAGGGTTTCTTCAGGTATGTTGGCAACAAGAAGAAAGCCAAGGAAAGTGTGGGCCCCTTACTGAATGAGGGAGGCAACCTAGTGACAGAGGATGTGGAAAAAGCTAATGTACTCAATGCTTTTTTTGCCTCTGTCTTCACTAACAAGGTCAGCACCCAGACTGCTGCGCTGGGCATCACAAAATGGGGAAGAGATGGCCAGCCCTCTGTGGAGATAGAGGTGGTTAGGGACTATTTAGAAAAGCTGGACGTGCACAAGTCCATGGGGCCGGACGAGTTACATCCGAGAGTGCTGAAGGAATTGGCGGCTGTGATTGCAGAGCCATTGGCCATTATCTTTGAAAACTCGTGGCGAACGGGGGAAGTCCCGAATGACTGGAAAAAGGCTAATGTAGTGCCAATCTTTAAAAAAGGGAAGAAGGAGGATCCTGGGAACTACAGGCCAGTCAGCCTCACCTCAGTCCCTGGAAAAATCATGGAGCAGGTCCTCAAAGAATCAATCCTGAAGCACTTGCATGAGAGGAAAGTGATCAGGAACAGCCAGCATGGATTCACCAAGGGAAGGTCATGCCTGACTAATCTAATCGCCTTTTATGATGAGATTACTGGTTCTGTGGATGAAGGGAAAGCAGTGGATGTATTGTTTCTTGACTTTAGCAAAGCTTTTGACACGGTCTCCCACAGTATTCTTGTCAGCAAGTTAAGGAAGTATGGGGTGGATGAATGCACTATAAGGTGGGTAGAAAGCTGGCTAGATTGTCGGGCTCAACGGGTAGTGATCAATGGCTCCATGTCTAGTTGGCAGCCGGTGTCAAGTGGAGTGCCCCAGGGGTCGGTCCTGGGGCCGGTTTTGTTCAATATCTTCATAAATGATCTGGAGGATGGTGTAGATTGCACTCTCAGCAAATTTGCGGATGATACTAAACTGGGAGGAGTGGTAGATACGCTGGAGGGGAGGGATAGGATACAGAAGGACCTAGAAAAATTGGAGGATTGGGCCAAAAGAAATCTGATGAGGTTCAATAAGGATAAGTACAGGGTCCTGCACTTAGGACGGAAGAATCCAATGCACCGCTACAGACTAGGGGCCGAATGGCTAGGCAGCAGTTCTGCGGAAAAGGACCTAGGGGTGACAGTGGACGAGAAGCTGGATATGAGTCAGCAGTGTGCCCTTGTTGCCAAGAAGGCCAATGGCATTTTGGGATGTATAAGTAGGGGCATAGCGAGCAGATCGAGGGACGTGATCGTTCCCCTCTATTCGACATTGGTGAGGCCTCGTCTGGAGTACTGTGTCCAGTTTTGGGCCCCACACTACAAGAAGGATGTGGATAAATTGGAGAGAGTCCAGCGAAGGGCAACAAAAATGATTAGGGGTCTAGAACACATGACTTATGAGGAGAGTCTGAGGGAGCTGGGATTGCTTAGTCTGTAGAAGAGAAGAATGAGGGGGGATTTGATAGCTGCTTTCAACTACCTGAAAGGGGGTTCCAAAGAGGATGGCTCTAGACTCTCAATGGTAGCAGATGACAGGACAAGGAGTAATGGTCTCAAGTTGCAGTGGGGGAGGTTTAGATTGGATATTAGGAAAAACTTTTTCACTATGAGGGTGGTGAAACACTGGAATGCGTTACCTAGGGAGGTGGTAGAATCTCCTTCCTTAGAGGTTTTAAGGTCAGGCTTGACAAAGCCCTGGCTGGGATGATTTAACTGGGAATTGGTCCTGCTTCGAGCAGGGGGTTGGACTAGATGACCTTCTGGGGTCCCTTCCAACCCTGATATTCTATGATTCTACTCATAGGTGAAACAGGAATAACTCCCCCTCAGCCCTGAAAGGCAGTTTGCAGCTGTGAGAGTGCAAGGGGACAGCCTCTGTGCCACTGTTCTTGCTCCCTGGGGTGTCCCAAGAGCTGTGCAAATCTCAGGCCATTGGTGAATTTATGGTATGGAAGTTCCTGTTCATTCTACAGAGTAGAACTCCAATTGCAGAGTTTCCTAGCTCTGTATGTTGGAAAATCTGTGCCGCGCTGTTATTCTGACAGCTCTGTATTGAATGGGTGGTTCAAGATTGGTTCAGTACATTAATAAGACTCTGGGTGTTAAAAAAAGACAAAAAACTAGCTGAAACAGAGAAGAAAGAGAAGGAACAAACCTAGAAGCCCAATCAGCAACCCCAATCAGCAACCCAATGACAGAAACCAAAACATAAAGAGGAAACCAAATGTCTTTGGTGTGGCCAAGATGGTTGCTGCAGAGGGATTCTAAGAAAGGCTGAGGAAATGAGCATTCCAGAGTCCCACACAAAGGATGGAGAAGGCACTGCTCCTGGTCTCCTGAAAAGTCTCCCATCCCCCCACACCCCTTAATAAACATACCAACTGGTTTAACTCATTCTTGATCAGTTCTCTTTATATTGTATGGATCTCTTTCTAACCTTGTCTGTATCTGTGGGGTGAAATTAAGAAAAAGAAAAATTCAGGTTCAATAACAGGAAAAGTCTCCTGACAGAGACCTCTATGAGATCTGACCCCTACAGGGCTTGGGGCTTTGAAACAATTACTAGAAGTATACACAAAAAGAAAAGGAGTACTTGTGGCACCTTAGAGACTAACCAATTTATTTGAGCATGAGCTTTCGTGAGCCACAGCTCACTCACGAAAGCTCATGCTCAAATAAATTGGTTAGTCTCTAAGGTGCCACAAGTACTCCTTTTCTTTTTGCGAATACAGACTAACACGGCTGTTCCTCTGAAACCTAGAAGTATACACTGTGAGGAGCAGAGGAGGGGATGGATGATCTAATAGGTCTTTTCCGTGTCCAGCGTATATGGTCCTATGATCTATTCAGCTTGGTACCAAAGTGCGTCTGAGCCCATGCCTTCCTTCTTGGACTTGCTCTTTCCTGTTAACTCCCAGCAGCTGCCTCAGCTTTCTCTCTTTGGCCAGAAGGAAGCTCGTGCCTCTGCTAAAGAAACGTAATGCCTACCCATCAATCAGTCTGTATCATCTCAGCCTCCTCACTATGTGTCACCTGCGTAATAGCTAAGAGCATGATTTCATATTCATATGAAAGATGCATATATTTGAATCAAGGTCAAACCAGAGTGTTCTTTGTATCTTCCTTTCTGATGGAAATCACAGCAGTCACAGAGAATGCACACACCTTGGCGCAGCAACAGGTCATCCCGTAACAGACAGATGAAATAAACACAGCCAGGCTGGGCATAATGGGGACGAGGAATCATGGGGACCTCCTAGCAAAAGAAAGAAATGAACTGGTGAGATGGGGTGACCCTTTCATTACATCATTTACAATCTGTCCAGCACCGGGGCAGAGGCCAACCATATATGCTGCACTTTTGGACATGCTCAGTAGAGCTGGACACAGAATAAGAATTAATATTTAACAGAATTAAAGAGGACTCAAGGAGATTGTAATGTAAAGCTGGAGAGCCTCAGATGCGCATTTCCTTTCATGTTTGAGCTGTCAAAAGCTCTGGGCCTCACAATTCTATACTGGCCTAACCAGACTCTTCTGCCTTGGAAAAAGGGGAAACTCTTCTGTGCAGTTTCTCTTTTCCTTGGGTAGGAGATGTAGGATTCTGGCTACTAACCTGCTCCCAACTTGATTATTGTTGCAGTTGATAAAACCTGGCATGTGTTGCTTCAGAAGCTTGCTTTCTGCCTTTGCTAGCCCAAGAGAGAGAACTGTGAACTGATCCCACACTATTTGCAGGCCAGCACAAAGCTGAGAGCAACAAGAGTTAATTCTTTATTAACTCCATAGATTAGTTACACTCTGGCTAATTGGCACATGCAATAATTTAAATGCAAGAAGTATTACAGTTTGTGATTGTTACATCAGAGCAAGAGCAACTGAAAATAGTTTACCCTGTCCACGGATCGAGGGTCACACTGTTCACACAAGTAGTGTTCAACATCAGAATTTACACCCATGCAATCGCAGTGCTGCCAAACCTACAAAGAAATCCCGATTAGGAAGACATGGATTATAATTTGTAAATAAAACACATCTCCTCATGAGACAGATTAAGAGAGCATAAGAACAAGCAACCAAAAAGAAATGCAGGGCTTTCTGTGAAATATTTCACATATTGTCAGATAAAAGATAATAAGATCCGTATGCTGTGGTTTTTATTAATCATTGCTGAAGTTTTAACGTCTCGATATAAATGTATTGCTGGCTGTTTCATAAGTGTTAGCTCCTATCTCTAGTCATTTTATTTGCATTTCCTGTGTGGAAACAGCAGTGCTAAATTCTCTTTGGAGAGAAAAGGGAGATCTGGAAGTGGGACTCTGCCGTATCAGCTGTGTGGAAGCTGTGGATATAGTAACTATTCACCATGGGGAAGGTGGAGCTGGACACTCCCTCTCCCTTTTGTTCCCCCTCACCATGCACTTGTCACACTGGATCATGAGTCCTTCGTCTTTGTAAAGGCCACAGATGCAGCGGATTACGTCCTCATCTTTCTCATGCCCATTCTCCTTCTCACAGATGGACGTCTCACTGCTGTCGGCTTCGCTTGCTGTCTCCCCCACAATCTCATCGATCTGGGCAGAAGCTTCATGGCGAGCATTGTAATATGCCTTCCGTAGTCGGCACACGTCACGTCCAATTGGAGACTTCCTGCCATAGTATTTCTGAATACAAACAAAAGAAGCAACTCACTCTTCTAAACACCCCCTACCTTGGGCACATTCATCCACTCTGCCCACTTCAGCGTGCATTCTTGGGAGATGGCCTGCTCTGCTAGCCTCATGTACCTCTGGGGTAGATATATTCACTCTACCTACTGCCATATGTTTCTGGGTCAGATGTCCCTGCCCAGCCAGCTCTTGTGTACCTCTGGGGCCTGCCCCATATGACTTAGAGGCAGGTGCGTGTGCCCTGGCTATCCCTGAATGCCCCTGAAGTACAAGTTAATTCCCTTGAGAAGCACCCTGGTCTCTTCAGGCTGGAAAGATGCACACTATTCACAAGCCTTTACTTTGTTGGCACCATGCAGCTGGAACAAGTTGAGAGAGCAGGGTGAAGGGAACAAGTTACCAGTGTCATCTCTCTGCACTCACTTGGCTTGTCAGAGGAGAGTTATATGACTCTCTCTCTCTCTGTTGCAAGAACCTCTGTTGCCATGACCATTAATTCAGGCCACACCCACAGTGCCTGTGCTGTAGCTTTACGGCTTGGCATCCTCACCTCAGCATTCCGGAAGACCTTCAGCATGTCCCCATCAAAAGCTTCCACAGTTTTATAATACCCAGTCAAGATCTGCTTCTCAATGGTGGCAAGGTCCAAGGGGTCAGAGATCTTCTCATAGTAATCTGCATTTCTAAAAGAGGAGGGAATCTATAGTGTCATTTTCACCAACACGTCAAAGATGCACAAACCGGTTAGAATAAAATTACAGATTGGTCTGAGAAGCAAGAACTTACTTTTTCTTTGGAGGAAGGTTCAGCAGTGGAGCTGCGAGAGCCTGCCTGGAAGAGTCTGTAAAGGAAGCACAGAGTTGAATAGTGCTTTGCCATATCAGAATTAAACAAGAGATGTAAACAGTGAACTCAGTCTAAAGAGAGCCCCTTTTTCACCCTCAGACACAGGGACCAGGAATTGTTGGATATTTTAAGGAACTGGCTGTTGGGTACTCTTTACGTGTACAGCACTGAAGATCAGTTCACACTGCAGCAGCATCTTGCACACTGAATCATAGAGCTGAATCTATACAAAATAACTTTTGTAGGACAGCCCCACCTGTGGTAGCAGGAGAAGAGATTGTGGGAAATGGAGGGTGGAGCTGGGGGTAGGATCAGGGGCAATGGAGAAGGGGTTGTTTGAAGTCCTGAAATAAATGTATTCTTCTTTAATACATTATGCTCTGATGACCCTCATCCCTGTGTTCTGAAGAGTGATCAGATCTCAATGCAGGCTGATAGAGTGTCTGCTTCACCTTTGTAGGAGATGATGCTGTCACATATCTCCTTGAAGATTTGTGCAAGGCGTGCAGCACGAGCCACTTCAATGTTCTCTTCAGCTGCAGCCAAGCGCCGTGTTCGCACAGAACGGGAGGTTTGCAGGGCTGAGAACTGGGTCATGAAGACATCTGAAAGAACGGACAAAGAACAACCTTTATACAGAAGTTCTACCTCAAGAGGAACTAATGTCCTTCTCAAATTTAATACTTAAGATGACGCCAGATGGTGTCTCCTCTCCTGCACCAAGTTCAGAAGCATATTTCCTGTTAGCATTGACACTGATTTGGGTTACAATAAAAAGTAAAGGGTCAGATTCACTGGTAATCTCTGGCTGTTTTGTGCTGCTCTAGCCAGCTAAGCTGGATTTATGGCTACGTTGTGTTGCTAGAGCGGAAAAAAGGAACCAGAACAAACTAGGGAATGTGAACGAAGGCATGTGGGTCCCAATTTCTCACTTAGCCGCCAGAGGGGAGCCAAAAGCTGGAATGGGGTTGCATGGGTATAACTGAGAGTAGGATCTGATCTTCTGAATGGAGTGGTGTTTTGGAGAGGGGTTTGTAACTTTCCTTTGGCCGCCACATGTCCCATCCCCATAACAGATGGCAAGCCAGAAAACATAGTTTCCCAAAGACCTAAACTCAGAGATCCTCACTGTTATGAGGATAATGAGAACTCTCAGAGTTAGCATGGATTGCTGCTGCAGGTGCTGAGCAGCTCTCCTCTCATTAAGGACCAATCCTGCCCTGCATTATTTATGCTGTTATGCCAATTCCCTAAAATGGCCACATCAGGTTTCTCCTTCTCTGAAAAATCACCTGTGGGGAGAGGGGACAGGAATTCCAAATGAACAATAACATTTCCAGTAGGAGCTGTGAGCCTTCAGGATCCTGCACGGGAACACAGGAATTTCCGTACTGAATCGACCAGCGGTCTATCCAGTCCAGTCCCTGGCTCTGACAATGGCCAATACCAGATGCTTCAGAGGAAAATGTAAAACTTCATAAAGAAGAAGAATAAAAAAATATGCCTGTAGAGGGAGTTTTTTCCTCACTCAGAGTGACATTGAAAACAGATCTGTACATAAACACCCCGATCAGTATTTGAAAACCTATTTGGATTTGGTAGTAACTTTCTATTGGATCTGTGAACTGATTTGAATTATCCATGGCTGTAAACTTTCATACCAATGTGATTTGACTAGGTCCCCCAGAAGAAAGAGGTAACAGCAGGAGACTGTGCAGGCCTCACCAGATTTGATGTTGCCGTCATCACGGCAGATTCCATTCCAGCGGTTATATAATGATGCAGAGTGGATGTTGTCACTGACATGTTTCACTTCCTCTTGTTTTTGCCGAATCTTCTCCCAATTCCGTACCAGAAAAACATGACGTTTTAGCACAAAATTCCTGCAAAAATTAAAAACATGCATTTTCAAATCACCTCACTGTCTTAATGTTGACTATTGGAAGCAGAAGAAAGAAGGCAACAGCTTAGATATTCCCTGATCTATTTGGAAGTACTGTGGGGATCTAATCTATTAATCAGTTAATATCATCTATTATGCAGCACGCCAGAACTCCAACTGAGGTAGTGATGGGAGCCCTTTTTTTCAGATGGGCTCATGACAGTCTAAGGCTTGTTTTCTTGGTGACTTTTGACATGGCTGATCATGTGTTACTGAAATGGTAAATAAGTGATGATGATGGTGTGTCTGGAACTGCCCTCCAGTAGTGTGGTTCTTATTAGTGACAATGGTAATGATAAGTAAGTGCATGTCCAGCAATGAAGAGTTTGAAATGCTGCATCCCTCAAGTTTCTGTTCTGTCACCCCTGTAATACCTCTTGGAGAGATAATTCCTAAACACATCAGTTTGCTGATAACACGGTTATAGATTCATAGATTCTAAGGACCATTGTGATCAACTTGTCTGACCTCCTATATAACACAGGCCAGAGAACTTCCCCAAACTAATTCCTAGAGCAGATCTTTTAGAAAAACAACTGCTCTTGATTTAAAAATTGACAGTGATGGCGAATACACCTTGGCCCTTGGAAGTTGTTTCAATGGTTGATTACTCTCATTGTTAAAAATTTACAGCTCATTTCCAGTCAATTTGTCTCGCTTCAACTTCCAGCCATTGGATAGTGTTATACCCTTCTCTGCTAGACTGAAGAGCTGTTGATTAAATATTTGTTCACCATGTAGGTACTTTTAGACTGCAATCAAGGCAACCCTTAATCTTCTCTTTGTTAAACTAAACAGATAGACTCAAGGAGCTCCATCACTAGAAGATACTTTTCTAATCCTTTAATCATTCTTGTGGCTCTTCTCTGAACTCTCTCAACTTTATTAATCTCCTTCTTGAATTGTGGACACTGGAACTGGACACAGTATTCCAGAAGCAGTCAGATTAATGCCAAAACCAGAGGTAAAATAACCTCTCCACTTCTACTCAAGATTCCTATTTATGTATCCAAAGATCACATTAGCTCTTTTGGCCATAGCTAATGTTCAGCTGATAATCCCTAAATCTTTTTCAGAGTTACTGATAGAATCTCCCATTCTATAGTATGGCCTACACTCTTTGTTCCTAGATGTATACATCTACATTTAGCCATATTAGACCACATATTGCTTATTTGCACCCAGCTTACCAAAGATCTAGATTGCTCTGTATCAGTGTCCTGTCCTCTTCATTATTTAGCACTGCCCCGATTTCTGTGTCATCTGCAAACTTTATCAGTGACCATGTTAAATGGCATAGGACCAAGAACCGACCCCTGCAGGACCCCGCTAGAAACACACTCGTTTAGTGACTGCCCCCATTTACAATTACATTTTAAGACCTATCCATTTAGTCATTTTTAATCCATTTAATGTGTGCCATGTTAATTTTATAGCTTTCTATTTTTTAATCAAAATGTCATGCGGCACCAAGTTAAATGCCTTACAAAAGTGTAAGCATATTATATGAACCCTATTATATTTATCAACCAAACGTGTAATCTCATAAAAAAAGGTATGAGGTTAGTTTGATGGGATCTATTTTCCATAAACCCATGTTGATTGACATTAATTATATTATCCTCCTTTAATTCTTTATTAATTGAGTCCTGCATCAGTCACTCTATTATCTTGCTTTGTGAATCCTGATAGCCTCTCTTGGAGGGACTACCTTAAAGACAGAATTCTAGCTTCTGGGTAAGGAGCATCAGTATAAGGAGGGTCTCTTTTCCTTTGTGTCCCCACTCACAATGGGGTATCTTTGGAAGTTATGAAGTAGGTTTCATTATTTTCAGTCACATTCTTTCCATGAAAAGGAAGGTTATTTACATTACACAGCTTTGATTTTCAGCAGCATAATTTGTACAGGCTGTGCACTTACCAGTATTTACCCTATGATAACTTTACCCAAGAAACACATGTATTCCCAGCAAGGGGCCATTATTTTCCTTTCCACTTACTAGGGACTATAGCTTGGTTGCCACTTGCAGTTGCTGCAGATTGCAGCTACTGACTGCCCAAAAGGTCTAAGAGCTGACATCACATCATGCCTGCCACCCTGCGTTATTTATGCTGACTGCCTGAAGAAGTAGTTGACTGAGTTTAAGGTGGTCCTGTTGGTCTGCGGAATGGGTCAGAAAGTGGATCTGAGCAAACTGTAAGGGACTGGGGAACAGGCAGTCTGGCTTAGTGATCACAGCTGGGCTGGGGTCCACACGTCAGGGACATGAACAAGGGTTGGAGGAATCACTAGAGCCAGGTTCAATAAGAATGAGTCAGGATCAAAGTCAGGCCAGGGTCAGAGACCAGAGACAGTACCAGGCTGAAGTCAGAGTCAAAGCCAAGCTGGAGTCTGAGTCTGGAGATTGCAGGTAGTATGAGGCTGGAGTCAGGAGGCAAGGGTCAGGGTCAGAGTCATGCTGGGATCAGAGACCACAGATCAGAAGCTGTGGTAAGGTCTGGAATTGCAGCAGGCCCAAAGTCAGACAGCTTCCTGGGGCACCCTCCAGGGTTAAATAGGGCGTTTGGCAGAGGGCCGTAGGGTACTGTCACTCTGGGTCCCTTGGGCAGTACTTCCTGCGGTGCCTACTCTCTACAGTGCTCCCTGGCCATGGATCTGAATGGCCCCCTGGTGGCACTGTGGGAATGTCAGCTGTCCCAGGCTCTTCAGACCCAGGTTCTAGTCCATGGATCCTTACACCCTCATCCTGATGGTAATCTGTGCCCTGACAGTTCCACCACTGTATTGGTGAACAATGCTAAGGTGTAGAACTTGCTCTCCTGGCACATCTCTCCCCACTTTTAATATATGCTTCATAAAAAACATTACACATTCTCTCCCTACTATTTTCCTCTCTAAAGAGGTCTTAATCAATGCATCAGGCCAAACTGCTGCCTGCCCTGTTCTACTCATTGCCAGCCATACTAATGCAATGAATTTTGTTAGTTGCACAGGAAGAACCTTTGTGTGGTTGGTTCCACTCAAACCAGCACTTCATGTTGATTGGTTCTGCTTTGCTAAGAGCAGATCCCCTGCCAGAACAGCAGCAGAGAGCAGGTTGAGGCATTCCACACTGGTCTGAACAGGTGTGCCTGATTCCAGGAGTAACTTTTAGTAACACATTACCCAGGAGCAATGTGAACACTGATGCAGTGTGTGCATTCTCCACCCCACTAGTAATGACCCATTCTAAAACAGCGATTGGAAAGGCCGTTCTAATACCAATGCCACAATTTCAGATTAAGGACAACAGATCCTATCTGATCCACAACAGATCCTAATATTTAATCTATTTAACACAGATCCCAGCACCCCTTCTTCTTCAACTGGACATTCTGTGATGCCTTATTTTATGGAGAAAAGATTCATTTTGATTTTATAGCAACCCTGCATTGCCGGAGAGAAAAACAACACTGAAATCCTTCCTTACCTTTCTCTGTTGGACATGGGCTTCATCTGAAGCTGTGGGGTCAACCTGGTTGGTGTGTTCACACTTTCACTAGTCTCCTCTGGAATGTGGCCCCTCTGTAAAATAGATAATTCTGGTGAGAAAAACCAAGGACAAATGGTATGGCAATTCATTTGAGCAACAATCTCTGAACATTGTTTCTCCAGTTTTCTATGCACATATATAACAAATATGCTTCACCTTGGTCTGGCTGAAACAAACTGACTTCCCTATAACCTGTCTATGAAAGAAGACTTGGCTACAGTACTCACCCCCTTCTTTAGTTTGTGCTTTGACTTTCTCTTCTCTTTCGATCGTCCAGGCCTTCTGTGTGTGGTTACAGGCTGGGTGGTTTTGCCTGAGAGTCCATTCATTCGCTGACTCTTGCCCCCAATTATTCCTCTGCATTTGTCAAAACCACACTTGCAGAGTTGCTTTGAAGTAAAAAGAAGAATTATTTTTTAATAAAATCACAACAATGGAAAAATCTGTCAATATTACCAAATACCAGCTCACGCACATATAGCACAGTGTGGCCTTATTAATAACCCCTAATCTGCACAGAATTGTTCATCTTTTGTGAGACTCATCTAGGTTTAGTAGTGCGAGCCTCACCTGTTTTTCAACATTAAATGAGTGAAAATTGTAGTCATAAGTCAGTTCTGTACCAGCAGGCATGTCCTTAAGTGCGTACAACCCAATCCGGTAGACACCATTAACAGACCTGTAGAGAAAATATAATGAAAAATGTCCTGGCTTTTATCATCGTACAGGGGCCGCAAGGTCTGGAGGTGGTGGCCAAAAGAATTGGTGCTGGGGCAAAATTAGGCTTGTCCACACAGTGCAAGCGTTGAGAGGTGGGAAACAGCATTTTCATCGGGCCTTGAGCCAAACATTCGTCATTTTTACCATTCTCTCCTGCTTATCCCTCTCCCTACAAAGCCCTTCAAGGAACATTAAATGTATACTTCACTTACAAAGAGCAGGAAATTGTGGCTTCAAAGTGAGAGGAGTCACAAATCACATGAGGCACCACAAATTAAAGAACCACCCCCCCGCACCAAAATTCACTTATTTTCAGGGCTTCATTCTGAACCAGAAACTAACACTTGACCTCACATTATCATTGAATATATCTATTAATAATATTACTTTCCATATTGTTTCTGTGTTGAATTTTCATGTTCATATAAAGGAAAAACTAATTAGCACTGGGTAAAGCTGCACTAGGTACAGACAAGCACGGCAAGCTTCCACACCATGCTATCCTTATTATAAATCCTATTATGCTCACCCAACATTCCAGTTTAAAGCCACCCCTGCAAATCTCTGCTAATACACTCAATCCCTACCCGCTGTATTTCCTGCTATCCTAACACTAGGGTCTTTCCTAAGTAGAGAATAGTGGTCACAGATAGTGGTAAATTCTGACTATTTTACTATTATCCTAACTCACAAATACATTTGAACTGCCAGAGGGGAAAAGCATATGGATTTATTTTACTGCACCATCTAGTCTTAATGATTTATTATATCATAACAACATGACATACATAATGTAGGAGCTTCCATACCAGAACAGACTATTTAGATCCATGTAGGACAGCAGCCTGCCTCAGATGTGACATTACCTGACAGCAATACAAATCTTACACAATACAAGATCCTTAGTCAATATTTTGATGTTGTTTCAATCTCTGCCCAACTCATCTTTTCCCTATTTCGAGACCAACTTCTCTAAGATGCTCATCCTATCTACATTTTAACCACGGATATAGCCAGAGGTCCAGCATGTAGAGTATTTGTTTCTTACCATTTCTGCATTTCGCAGTTAGGATTACAGCTGTGGTTGATAAATCGAGCCTCGTTGCCCATGCGATAGCTGTCAATCACCATCCCACTGTCTAAGTTCAGGCAATAATGATCACTGTGATTATGGTACTGTTCAATCATCCGGTTCCTAGAAAGCAACACAGGAAAGTTCTTGTGATTCCAACTGTCAAAGCAAAGCAGACACATAGTTACTATGGAAATAGAGTGTGCAGGTACTCTGGGAGGTGGCTTTAGAGAGACAATTGTAACACTTTACATTTACATCCAGAGATAGAGGATAAGCATTGTCATCTCTGTTTTACAGATGAGGTAACTGAAGCACAGACAAGGGCAGCGTACTTGACCAAGGTCATGACGGAGCTGGGATTAGAATTTGGGAGCTGTTCCCTCCAGACCATGCTGTCTGTCTCGTGTTATGCAAATTAATTGTACAGATTTCATCTTTGTCTCATGCATGTGGAAGAGGACTGTACAAGTACAATTGGAATCCTGTACAGAGCTTGTTTCTGTATCAAATTCATATTCACTTGTGGCACTGGGCATTTACAGAACAGATGTTGCAGGCACTATGTTGCAGAGGCTAATCACCTTTCACAGTTTGACTGAAGAAAAGTTTATTGATTAAAATTATAAATTCTATGGGTTCTATTGGTGCTGGTGCTAGTGGATAGAAAAATACTGTCCCTTCTTTCCCTCCTCATGCTTAGTAACTAATTCCCTATAGGGGATAACGTGTTCTCAGAGCTACTTAGTGAGTCTGCCATTTGAAACAGTAATTACAAGTTTCTACCTGAATTCTTGTTCACTAACAACTTCTCCCAAATATTCAATGATAAACTGTCCTGCTTTCAGGGGCTCTTTGGTACGAATACCCCATCCTTTCTCTTCAGCACGGAAACGTTCCAGACACTGCACCCACTCATGCCGCTGAATCCGCTGGTTACAACACTGTTCACCACAAGGGCAAGTGTTAGGGGAACACTCAGCAAAGATCATCCTAAAATCAAAGACAAACAAGCTAAAAGAAAATGGTAAACATACATGGAGAGCTGCTGTCAAAGCAAAGCATGCAGTAAATCCCGTTAAAGGTGTCACTTTTCCCCAAATCTCTGACAATGGGATACCCTTTCCTTCCTCTGTCACAAAACTGATACTATCTCAGTCCCAGTTCCTATCTCAGAAGTAGCAATACAATGAGCTGTCTATCACATGGAAGTTTGTAGGTCTACACATCCAAGTGAAGATGCAGAGCCAAAAAAACCTCTAATTAGAGCTGACTAGGAATTTTTGACACAGCTTTTTTTGGTTGTAAAATGGCAATCTATCAAAACAGAAATTGTTCCTGGAAAAGGACTGGTTTCAGTGAATTTCTCAGTTCAAAAATTTTTTGGAAACAAGTTTAGAAAATCTGGAAATGTCTCATTTCAATATTTTCAAAATGAAAACTTATGGTTATAGGTTCAAAATGCCTTTTTGTTTCAAAAGTTAAACTAATTATAATACAATTGTCTTGTTTAAATAAAAAGGTCGAAACTGAAATTAAACATTTTGATTGATCTAAAATGTTTTTTTTTCAGATTAATTTGTAAACATTTTTGAGATTTGAATTTTGAGTTCTGATTGGGGATGAATTTTTTGAGATTTTGAAAAATCTTCCCAGGATCAGAAAAGAATTTCCTGCTCAGCTCTACCACTACTATGCTTCTTACAGGGGCACGTGGCATAATTTATGTATAGCATTTCAACAGAGTCCAGTCCTGATTCTCCACTCTTTTATGTCAGTTTAGCTGGTGTGCAATTTCAACAAAGTCACATCGTGGAGAAAAGAATCAGGTTCAATATCTCTTGCATTTTGACTGGCTAGTAAAAGGTATAGAAATCCCTTACACTAATCTCTGGATACCTATTATAAATTTGTGCAACCTGTTTTTTTCAGAGTCGCCAACATTTTTTCCCCACCTTGTTGAATGATCCATTGGGAGAATGCTATGGTTTTAATCCTGAGAAGGAGATTATGGATTGGCTCTGCTTCTGGGATGATAAACAACAACATTTTTGGTACAGTGTTCCATTTAATTCTTCTAGTTATGCTGTAATACAGGCCTGAACTGGAAAGGGCAATGGACTCTATGACAATATTCAAAGGAGGATGAGTAAACTGCAGATGCTTCATTTGGGGGATGTGTTATGCTGAACAGGAAGACCTGATCTTTTCACACTTTCTGGGATTAAACATTAGAAAATTTAAATAAATTCTTAGAAAAATTTCATTTTTTCTAATCTCACTTTGTTGAATGGCAGGAGAGCTGTGAGGGACAGGAGCACTGGGGAGATAGGGTGTCGTTTAGATTCAGGAACAATGGAAAATTAATGAAATTATCATTTTTAAAAAAGATAACCTCTTTGGTAACCTAAAGTATACGAGAGTGCTAAAGGAATTGGCGGCTGTGATTGCAGAGCCATTGGCCATTATCTTTGAAAACTCATGGCGATCGGGAGAAGTCCCGGACGACTGGAAAAAGGCTAATGTAGTGCCCATCTTTAAAAAAGGGAAGAAGGAGGATCCTGGGAACTACAGGCCAGTCAGCCTCACCTCAGTCCCCAGAAAAATCATGGAGCAGGTCCTCAAGGAATCAATCCTGAAGCACTTAAACGAGAGGAAAGTGATCAGGAACAGTCAGCATGGATTCACCAAGGGAAGGTCATGCCTGACTAATCTAATCGCCTTCTATGATGAGATTACTGGTTCTGTGGATGAAGGAAAAGCAGTGGATGTATTGTTTCTTGACTTTAGCAAAGCTTTTGACACGGTCTGCCACAGTATTCTTGTCAGCAAGTTAAAGAAGTATGGGCTGGATGAATGCACTATAAGGTGGGTAGAAAGTTGGCTAGATTGTCGGGCTCAACAGGTAGTGATCAATGGCTCCATGTCTAGATGGCAGCCGGTATCAAGTGGAGTGCCCCAAGCGTCGGTCCTGGGGCCGGTTTTGTTCAATATCTTCATAAATGATCTGGAGGATGGTGTGGATTGCACTCTCAGCAAATTTGCGGATGATACTAAACTAGGAGGAGTGGTAGATACGGTGGCAGGTAGGGATAGGATACAGAGGGACCTAGAAAAATTGGAGGATTGGGCCAAAAGAAATCTGATGAGGTTCAACAAGGATAAGTGCAGGGTCCTGCACTTAGGACGGAAGAATCCAATGCACCGCTACAGACTAGGAACCGAATGGCTAGGCAGCAGTTCTGCAGAAAAGGATCTAGGGGTGACAGTGGACGAGAAGCTGGATATGAGTCAACAGTGTGCCCTTGTTGACAAGAAGGCCAATGGCATTTTGGGATGTATAAGTAGGGTATAGCCAGCAGATCAAGGGATGTGATCGTTCCCCTCTATTCAACATTGGTGAGGCCTCATCTGGAGTACTGTGTCCAGTTTTGGGCCCCACATTACAAGAAGGATGTGGAAAAACTGGAGAGAGTCCAGCGAAGGGCAACAAAGATGATTAGAGGTCTGGAACACATGACTTATGAGGAGAGGCTGAGGGAACTGGGATTGTTTAGTCTGCAGAAGAGAAGAATGAGGGGGGATTTGATAGCTGCTTTCAACTACCTGAGAGGTGGTTCCAAAGAGGATGGTTCTAGACTATTCTCAGTGGTAGAAGATGACAGGACAAGGAGTAATGGTCTCAAGTTGCAGTGGGGGAGGTTTAAGTTGGATATTAGGAAAAACTTTTTCACTAGGAGGGTGGTAAAACACTGGAATGAGTTACCTAGGGAGGTGGTAGAATCTCCTTCCTTAGAAGTTTTTAAGGTCAGGCTTGACAAAGCCCTGGCTGGGATGATTTAATTGGGGATTGGTCCTGCTTTGAGCAGGGGGTTGGACTAGATGACCTCCTGAGGTCCCTTCCAACCCTGATATTCTATGATTCTATGATTATGCAGACTAGAGCTGTGCTTAGCACACAAGAGCTGAAGAACTTTCATAAGCAAAGTTGATTTAATCATAATGAAATGGCAAATTAGTCTAAGATGTTATTTGATTACTAGTCTCTAAGACTAAAGAAATGTCATGCTCTTCCCTACAGAGAACTGTTCTGGGTAGTCATGAATGGAATCCAAAATCCCTATAACGTGTCTCTGTTCTTACTTTCTTCCTGGCTCTTCTCTTTGTGATAATTACTACATTCCGTTTCTCTTCTCCTCATGGGATTCCTGTTCTTTCTTCATACCTTCCCTTCCCTCCCGAGTCATCCATTTCCAGCTTCATCAGCAACTGCTCTTTTCTGAACATAGATATGACCTCAGAACAACTGAGAGATTCCTTCCAGTCCTCAAACTAAAGTTCTTTAAAAGGAAACATCAAAAGAACGGCTTCTACTATTGTCCATGGAATAACATGGGTCTTTGAAAGCTTCAAGCACAGCCCAATAGACTGCTTTCCTGCCTGAGGAAGGGAAAGAAATAGCATGCTCTCTTATTATTAAAGCGGTAGCTAGTAAAGGAAACTATGCTATATGCTTCTGTATCCACACTTTGTTGTACTGGGATCATTTCAGACTGATGAGCTTCTGATCACACCCAGCACATCTCTTTAACTTTCAAACAGTATCAGTTTATGGGGATTAGCCTGTTCAGGGGAATTCCCTTATTCTGCTTAATCAGCACATTTCCTACCTGTTAAGACAGTCATCTAAACAGCCCTTTCCATTGCCATCATCTGGTTTCTTACAATTGCAGGTGGTGGCCTCATAGCCAGAAAGAGGCTTAACATCTACATAGACGTCTGGAAAAAGAAAAAAGGAAAAGAAATAATTTTTCCAGAATAAAACAGCTATTTGAAATGCTTTCACCCCAATGATAGAAACCTGAGAAGAAGGTGGACGGCCAGTCTTTTATGGAACAGAGGGGTGGTGGAAGAGAGGAAGTCATGTCAAAGTTCCATACTTACACTGCTTAGTGAAAGGCACATGTATAATGACACCCACTATAAAGTAATAAATACAATAAATAATAATAATTAATAAAGTTACTTACTAGAACGGATTTTTTTATAAAGTGGGACATCTGGCTTTTTGTACAACTAAAAGGAAGAAAAAGAAAATTCTTACTTAATACATTGAACAACTGAAGCTGACATTCAGAAGTGTCAGGAAAATGATGGGCATGTTGTTCATATGTATATATTTATGTTAATTACTGGATAATATATGCATAAAGATCAGCTCAGGCTATTTCTCTGTGTGCGCACATGAGAAGAGAGATTAAAAATGTATCTGAATAAAAAATACCTAAGTTTAGAGAGCTCACTGAACAAAATTTCCAACATGGTTTATTCCTCCATATTGTCTGACACAGCAATCAGGAAAAGTCAAACAGAACATCTATGGAAACAGACATAGCTTTTTGGGATAGTAATATTTCCCTCAGCATTGCAGAGAAAAATACTTATTTAAAATAACTTTGAGTATGGGCACCTGCTCTTGTGGTAGAGCAGTATATTCATACTCAGTACAGTGGTAAGGAGGGGGAATCAGAACTCAGGCCCAAGATCTCTGGGCTGGAACCAAGGGAAATGCAGATCCTTTAGTCAGAATAATTTGCTATATATAAGGAGAGGACAGGAGATAAAACGGAGTTCCCACTGTTACATATTTTCTACATAAGCTATTACAGAACTAGATTTTTGCTTATAATTTAATATATAGTATCATTAATTGCTTCTCCTTTTAATTGTGTTTTAAAAGAATAATTACAATTCACTTTCTGTGTGTACTGCACTAGTAGCCCCTTTCAGTATCAACTGTCTCAGACATCATATAACAAAATGATTCTGTAAGTGTTCAGATATTAGGTGCATGAGGAGTGCATACCATTTTTAACTAGGTAATATTATAATATAGATAAGATATTGATAGAGGTAGCTAATCTTAAAGTCAAAGCCAGGAACTCTCCCCAAGTAGAATGTCAACAGCTTTCACTTTTTTAAGATCAGACTTTGGTGGTATTCTGATGAGCACCTGGAGCCACACTACCTTGGGAATTTGTTTAGCTCACTTACATGGCGAGATTACATCTCCTAGAGCTCATTTCTTGCTGTAGAGCTGGAGATGGATTTACCCTGCCTGTGTTAAATCACTGGTGGAGACTTCTCAGTTAAGGAAAAGAAAAGAAATCCCTATTTTTAGGCTTACATTCTTTTTAAAGATCTTTAAAGTGTGTAACTGTTAAACACTCTCTGCACACCCCTCAATATGAAAATTTCAGCTTGCAAGTAAAAAATAAATTCCATTCTGCTGGGACTGATTCAAGAAAAACAAGGCCTGAAATTTCTCAGTGCTGTTGGCAGTACATCTGAATTCTCCTGAGGCGCGTCTAAAACAAGATCCTTATAAAAAGTAAGCAGGCCTCCAAAATAAAAGTCCATAGCAAAATTAAAGATGGGCTTTTTCAGAAACTCAGTAGACTGCTGCTATTTTGCAGTGAAGGGGAAAATGGAAATTGTCCACATTAAATATATATATGCAAATTATTTTTTCTCATTAATGTCAACATGAATATTTACCAATATTCAGAAAATGTTACTGTAGCTGTGGTGTAAGAACCCTAGTCTCTTTCTAGAATTTCTGAATGCAATCTTGGCACTTAGTAACATTTTTGTCTTGTACCTGATTATGTTTCCACTGCCAGAGGATGTCGTACGGCAGCTGGAAGTCTATTCTCTTCTGTCTCAGATACTTCCCTGAAACAAAATTGATTATATGTCACTCATTCACATATACTCATGAGGAAAGAGGATCATGAATGGGCACAGAGCCCAAATTCTGACAGAGCCCCTCAAATCTCTGAAAATAGTAAAAGGCAGAATAGCAGAAATCCTCAAAGAACATTTTGTTTATTAGGGGCAACACAGGAAACATGTCAGTAAAGAATCCTTCAAAAGCATCGCAACATGCTGGTGTTGTTGGCTTTCCTCTAGTGTCACAGATAGGTTTATTCTTATGGGTATTGAATGAGGTTTTTTCACATTATAACATCCTAAATGTTATTACCAGGGACAGTGTGTACAGTGGGGTCCTGGTGACCCAACAGTTCAGTAACAGATCTTTTCCATTAATCTCTTAAGTGGGGTCACATAAACTGTACTTCCAAATATGAAGATTGGCTTGCTGGGGAAGGTGAGAGGGGAAAGGCACTCTGCTTTCTGTGGAGAGGGGTCTTAAACTGTACTTTGATGACTGACCTTAGAGAGATCATAAAACTCTGATGTTTGCAGCTAAACTCCTGACAACAATGCCAAGATCTCTGCGGGGGTTCTCACAGGAGAGGTCATTGTAAAGCGAGCAACTTTGAAGGCCAGAATACATTTTACAGATATAAAAAGACTTGCCTTTTAATCTTCAAAAATCTATTTTCCCCAAGAAGGTACCTACTCTGGTTTTGCAGTATTTTTCACATTGTAACATCTCAATGTTATTACTGGGACACTATGTAGAGTGGGGTCCTGGTGACCCAAGAGTGCAGTAACAGATCTTTTCCACTAGCAATTTCCAAAGTTGTGCTTTTCGGTCAGGACTTCATTCTGGCATTTGCTCTTCACAACCCCCTTTCCCCAAACAATGTACTAGTATGTAGAGGGTGAGTCTCTCCTCCCTCCCTCCCCCCACCTATGAATGTACTGAAATGGGATCTCAGTTAAGTTTCCAAAAGGTGGGACTATCCTGGATTTTTTCCCAGCCTGACTCAAAGTGAAATTTTCTGATCCATGAAGCCCTGCCCTCTATGTCAGAGAAACATTGTGGAGAATTTATTTTGCCAATCCTCATTAAAAATGTACTTCCTATCAGTGTGAGATGTCTGTAAAACAAGCAACTGTTACTCTCCCTTCTGCACATTCTTCTGGAAAATCTGACCAAGTCATCTGATAAAGTACTCAGTTGGATGCTCCTAAGAATCATCTGAGTCCCCTTCAGTGCTCCCCTTGCTCCCAGTATACAGCACTTAGGAGGGCAATTCAAGTGGGTGTACTAAAAATATGGCAAGTAGAAAATGAATAGTGTTCTTAAGCATTCAATCTATTTTACTTTATATTTTCTCAGGAAGGATCATTTTCCCCCTACTTATTTTACCAAATTGAGCACAATTACTATGCGTACACTGTTTATTATAGGACATGAAAAAAGATGTTGGAAGAAAAGAGGAATTCTTTAAGCACTTTTGATTTACTAAATCATACAATGAAGAGAGGAGGAGGCTGGAAGAGACTGAACAGTTTGCATTGAACTACATTTTGTAAAGAGAGACGAGACAGTGGCTGGGTTGGTTCTCAAGTATCTAGACAAGAATTCCAGAACTCTGCCCAGACTTGATTTCTTAACCAATGAGACAGTGAATGGCTCTTTTACTGGCATTATGCTGCATAATTTAACAAGGAGATCTCTAAAAATAATTGTATCTGCCTATGCAGTGCAGGGTTCCAGTATATATGAAGTGCTTCCTGATTCCAAGCTCCACATCTTCATATCACTTCCTCTTTCCTAACCAGTATAAGTGACCTGAATAAAACACTTTCCACAGTCTTTCCACAGTATGCATCCGATGAAGTGAGCTGTAGCTCACGAAAGCTTATGCTCAAATAAATTGGTTAGTCTCTAAGGTGCCACAAGTACTCCTTTTCTTTTGCGAATACAGACTCACACGGCTGTTACTCTGAAACCTGAATAAAACCTGTTGTACAAGTGTTCTTTTTTTGGAGAGGTATCTACAGCCCATCCCACTGCTTTTGTGTAAGAGATATTCCTTCCTATTTCAAAAGTTGGTGTTAAACAGTTAGTAGAGGACACAGATACTACACAGTAAAAATCTGTTGTAACTTCCAGAAATGAAGTTACTTAAGGAGACTTACTAAGGAAAACAGCTATCTGACTAGAGGAGAGAAGCACTGTCTCATACATTATTCATCAGTAACTTCTAATTAGGAAACCTCAAATAAAGTTTGATACTCTCTCCTTAATTCTCATTACTGTGCCCAAAGAACTAGAATGATCTAGCACAGATAACAAATATATACAAAAAGTTTCCACAAGCCTAATTTACACAATAGACCAGAGGGGTCAGGAGAATCCATTAGGGTCTAATGTACTAAGTCTTAAGCCCATTACACCCTAAGAATACGAACGAGTGCTGAAAATGACTTTCAATAATCGGTTTCCATGAACTGGTATTGACAGTGGCCTAAATGTTAAGTGTAGATTTGACAAGGCCATTCCTAATACCGTTTCAAGGGGACATGATATTGAAAAAACATTTTCAGCAATAGTTCAATTTCTTGGTGTGCATAGAGTTTCTGCCATTAAGAACCTGGCTTCTACAAGTGTCAGGGTTTGATACTGCAAACACCAGGAGTTTTTAAATTAAGATTAAAATGTTGTCCTGTCATTTTGTTGGGATACTGCTGCACAGATCTGAAACCAAAAGGGGTGAATATAGATGAAGTGTCAGCCCAATGCCCAAACATCCTGGCTTTCCTGGGTCTAATCAAGCCCTTTCATGTTCCTCTAGCAATAATTTCTGTGGTTTCATTTAGATTCAAATGCATACCTCCATCATTGAGAAAACTGGAAAATAAAAATTGTAATGTTTTCCTTACAACTTACTCTTAAATTAGTTTTTATTTTCAAAGCTTTTTTTTATCCTTAGCAGGTTCCAGGAAACAGCTAAATCTGCTGGGAATTTGCTTTCACTTCTATGACCTCACTGAGTGAAACAAAAGGCCCTTTCAAGTGCCCTGGCACTGAGCCTGGAGAATATGGAACGTTCTCCAGCCCTCATTAAGCAGGCACTAGAAAAGTTATTTGGCAGAGAATTAAACCTTGTAACACTATTCTGTAGTTATACCACTCTCCAGCTACCCAATACAGAGTAATTAAAGCTGCCTTATCTTTATTGCAGAAGTTTGTTTGTGTCTGCTGGTACAAATAAACTGGAGGTTATGGCTTTGTGTGGAAAAAAGAGAACAGGATCATTGCATTGCATACTAAACCTGAGCCTCTAGGGAGACAGTTCAATTGTGGGACAAAGCCACATGAACTAATAAAAAAGGAGGAATTTATTGAGAAAGTTCACAGATTTCTTGTTAATACCTTTAATTCTGAAATTTGAATTCTTAAAAGTTCATGGTTATTGATTTACACATGAAGATCTGTCATATCCTTCAGCTGCTGTTTCATTAAATAAGCTAACCCACAACACAACACACAAGTGCTTGGCTAAAGGAGACATTCTAATCAAACAAAAACATTTGGTGGCACAAACATTCTGTCTGAACAATGCAAAGTTCCCTACAAACCCCTTTTCCCAGTGTAATGTTGTAATACAAATCAATAGAACACAGGGAGTTTGCACCTATTACTCCTGGGGGAATTCTGCACTACTGCGCACGTGCAGAATTTATGTCCCCCCACAGATTTCTTTGCTCCCCTGCAGAAAAATGATTTTCTGATGGAGAAGCAAAGGGAAGCCACAAGAACGGTCATGCAACCCTCTCCAACAGTATGTTTTGGGTGCCCAGGGCAGTTGGCAGAGAGGTAAATCACTTGGAACTGGGGAATACCAGGCTGGTGGCTACTACCCTGTGCCGGGATCAGCTGCTAGTCTGGACTGGGCTGGGGAGGATTGGACTTCCTCTTCCCCTGCATGGCATCTGGGGCCGGGATAGACCCTCCCCCAGATTTTTCGCTTGTATGCAGAAAGCTCTGCAAACTTCCCCTCTCCTCTGCATCCTGCACCCATCGCTCCTCAGCTGCAGGGGGAAGGATCCCTGTACAGTGAGCTGCTCTCCCATCTGCCCAAATCCCATGCATCCAAACCCCCTCATACCAGACCCTCCTGCTGAGCCTCACCCCCTGTACTCAGAACCCCCTGATGAGCCCCACTCCCCCTGCATCTGGACCACCCAGATCCCCACCCCACCAAGCCCCAACCAGTTGCACCTGGATCCCCACCCCACTGAGTCCCACTCCCTCAGCATCTGAACTCCCCACATCGAGACTCCCTCAGCCGATCTCTATACCCCCTATACCAAGACTCCCCTCCCCACAGAGCACCACCCACCTTCACCTGGACCCCCCCTGCAGAGTCCTATTACCATTGCACCCAGAACCCTCCAACAAGGGCCTGTGATCACCCACCTCTGGGCAGCCAGTGGCCTGTGCTTCCCAATGCCATGCTGGAGCCTCCATGTTTATTTGACAAATAAAATTTGCAGAATTTAAAAATATTGTGCACAGAACTTTATTTTTTTTGGCGCAGAATGCCCTCAGGAGTAACCTATGTGCTCTGCTTAGTGCTCTAGACAATTGTGTTCAAAAGTAATTTTAGATTGGTTGCTGCTATACTGGGAAGTGACCTGTTTGTGAAAGCCCTCAGTCTGGAAGTCCTATGTCAAACTATAAACTAGTTTGAAGCAGTATAATCTAGTAGTCTGAGTATGTGACTAAGAGCCAGGAATTTGTTGGGTTCTAATCCTAATGCTACCACTAGCACATTGGGGGGTAACTGATCTTTGTGAAAGAGAGTCAGCACAAGACCTACCCATCACTTAAGTCTTATTTAAACTCTCAAAATAGGACTGAAGTGATGCACATGTCTTGCACTTGCCTTCTGCACAAAGGTGAATTTCAACCTGTATGACTTTGAGCAAGTGACTTAACCTCTCTGTATCTACCCTTTCCTCATCTAGAAAGTGGAAGCTAAAAACATTCACAGGTATGTTTGAAGGATTTATTAATGTTTGTGTTTTGTTTTAGAGATATAACAGGTGTTCATTATTTTACTGGTTTCCATCCTACTTTAATACTGCTTTGAAAAGAAAATTATTGTACAACATTTAAGCAAAGTATATAATGTTTAAAGAGTAACATTTATTTTCTGACTGATAAACCAGTATGAAAACTAGATTAAGATCTTGACAATGTAGAGTAAACAGAAAAATTGCAAACAGTAAAATCCAAAAAATAATTGAAGCTTTTATTGTAGTTCTCATATAGTCCATCTTGTTCCCATAGACCTCTGAATGATGAAAGCATTCAGAGTCTGAATCAAATGAGTTTGATACAATTTTGGGGACAAGAAACTTTGGTTGTTGAACAGCTACAAAGCCATTTCTACAAAAACAAACCTAACACACAGAGTGCCCTTCAGTCTGAACTGTTAGACTAAAGACAGTTCACAGAGCACAGAGTGAATAAGTGTGACTTCTGACAGTTAAAGAGCAGGGGAAATGAGTGACTCTACAAGAAAAAGGCAGAAAAAAGTGGAGAGGAAAAGGAGAGAGAGAGAGAGAACAGAAAATCTAAATGGAAAAGTTTAACCCCCAACCTGAGGAGTGGCACTTGATTCTCAGCAATAGAAAACATATATGAAGTACTCACCAACATGAATAGGAGCTGGGAACAATCCATGTTCATGCTCTCCAGGAGTGTACTCCAGCTTCTCTTTCTTTAATTGGATCAGGCGGCTCTTTGGGCTGAGAATGAGAGGCAGAAAGAAGCAGAGAAAGCCAGAGTGAGAAAGAGTTTTATCACTTGTGAAAACAACACTTTCTATGCTAATGAAGGTATTAATCCTCTAGTCTGTCAGACAGTAATGGTCTGTACCACTTTTCTGGACCCCTACCACTCTTGAAAATCAGGCCTTTTCTAGGATTCAGGGCTTCTGAAGGTCAGGCCACTTGTATTTCAGTGTCTAAATAGGAATGTAGGTATCTTTAGGCATACTATTTTGAAAATTGTAACCTGGGCTCATATAGGTTATTTTTACATGTCATATTTACATGGACTAAAGAAGATACAAACTCCAAAAGCCTAAATCAACTTTCCAAGATGTTTTCCAAGTAGATCTAACCTACCTGTTTCAAGACTAATGGTCAAAATTATTTTTAATTGTATAATTTCTTTGTGGACAATACTGAAAGGGAAAACATCGACTTGAAAAAATCCCATTTCCATCTCAATATTTGTACCTACAGTTGTTATAAATAATGTCCAAGATTACTAGAACAAAAAAGGTAAGAGATTAAATAAAATAATATACGCTTTTTTCAGTTTGCTCACTTAGTGCATTTGATAGCATTTTGTGTATAGTCAGTTTCACTGTTTTGTTGACTGCATATGTCCTCCTCCAAATCCTTCAAGAGTTTGTTAACCAGTAAAACAGCAGAAGTGCTGAAACTAAACAGACAGCAACCAGCAGAGGAAAAGGGGAGGGAAAGAAGTGAGCCTGTGCACATTTGGTATTGTAGGTCTGAGGCATACTCACCAGGCCCATCTAAACATGAGCAGGGGGACAGAAAAATTCTTACTTTTATTTAAAGAAAAATTTTAAACAACATACTATGGCACAGTATATAAAGGGTACTGAATCAGAAAATGGAATGTTTAGTCATCAATTAAAAAAAACCCAACTTGACATTGATACCAGAGTTTAAAGGGACAACAGCCAATAAGAATTTCTGAGGGCTAGAAAGAGGATTTATGGATGGAGAAAACCAGTGGTTCTACTCCTTCTTCAGCCCTTTCTGTCAATACCCTCTCTTATCTAACAGAAGGTGTATTTATTCAGCAAGTATATTCACTCATTTAGTTATTATTTATTATCTGTATTACAATAGCAGCCAGATACCCCAACTTGGATGTGGGACTTGTTATGCTGGGTGTTGTACATTATGAGACACTCCCCGTGCTGAAGAGTTTATAGTTGAAGGCTTTAATTTTTCTAAGACATATGTACTTAACTTTATTCATGCAAGTAACAGAGTTAGATTTTCAGGTAAGAAAAAAACATTAGGATCATCTATTTGACCTCTGGCATAACATAAGCCATCAAATTTAACCCAGTGAATTCCTGCACCTAGTCCAACAACTCATGATTGAATTAGAGCATATATCTTGATTTAAAGCAGGAGTAGGCAACCTATGGCACGTGTGCCAAAGATGGCACGCGAGCCGATTTTCAGTGGCACTCACACTGCCCGGGTCCTGGCCACCGGACCGGGGGGCTCTGCATTTGCATTTAATTTTAAACGAAGCTTCTTAAACAGTTTAAAACCTTATTTAGTTTATATACAACAATAGTTTAGTTATATATTATAGATTTATAGAAAGAGACCCTCTAAAAAAGTTAACATGTATTACTGGCACGCGAAACCTTAAATTAGAGTGAATAAATGAAGACTCGGCATACCACTTCTGAAAGTTTGCCAACCCCTGATTTAAAGACTTTAAGTAATGGAGAATTTACCATATCCCTTGGTAATCTGTTCCAGTGGTTGAGTACCCTCAATTGCTAAAAGTCAATGAGACTATTTGAATGCATAAAGTTAAGCATGTGCAAGAGCTTTTGCAGGTTTAGGACCTAAATAAATAAAAAAACAAAGGGTGGGAAAAAGTATTAACAACTCAATTCTACATATGGAGAATTGAGACTGAGAGATTAAGTGACTTGCCAAGGTCACAGAGGAAGTCTATGGCAGAGCAGGGAAGTGAACATGAAGTCCCAAAGCAGCGCCTTATGCGCAGAACCATTCTTCCACCTCTTTTATATTATTATTGTACTTTGCTCTTAGGGCCTTTCATCCAAGCACTTTATTACTTGAGAAAAAATCAGGATGATCCCCATCCTATAGACAAGGAAACTGAGGCACGGGTAGATTAAGCAACTTTCTCAATATCACACAGTGAATCAGTGCAGATCCAGGAATGGAACTGAAGTACCATCACTCCGAGTCCATTGTTCTACCTTCTAGATACACTTACATTTGTTACTTAATTCCGAGTATATATCCAACTTTGCTTCAAACTCATGTATGCATTTGCTTCTACATCATCATTCTTTGACAGTGTTACTGGCCTAGTGGATAAGGTGGAAGCAGTCAGTGTGCTATATGTTGATTTTAGTAAGACTTCTGACATAGTCCCACGTGACATTCTCATATGCAAACTAGGGAAATGTTGCCTAAGTGAAATTACTACAAGGTGGTGCACATCTGGTTGAAAGACCACAGTCAAAGTGTAGTTATCAACGGTTTGCTGCCAGACAGTGAAGGTGTATCTAGTGGGGTCCCATAGAGGTCAGTCCTGGGTCCGATACTATTAAATATTATAATTAATTACTTGGATAATGGAGTAGTTAGTATGTTTATCAAATTTGCAGAGGACACCAAGCTGGGATGGGTTGCAAGCACTTTGGAGGACAGGATTAGAATTCAAAACTGCCCTGACAATTGGAGAACCGGTTTGAAATCAACAACATGAAGTTCAATAAAGACAACTGCAAAGTACGTCACTAAGGAAGGAAAAATCAAATGCAAAACTACAAAACGGGGAATAATTGGGTAGTTCCGCTAATAAAGATCTGGTGGTTACAGTGGATCACAAATTGAATGAGTCAACAATGTGAAGGAGTTGTGGAAAAGGCTAATATTTGGGAGTGTATCGACAAGTGTTGTGTGTAAGACACTAGAGGACTGTCTTGCTCTACTTAGCACTGGTGAGGCCTCAGCTGGAGTGCTGTGTCTAATTCTAGGCACCACACTTTTGGAAAGATGTGGATGGACTGGAGAGAGTCCAGAGGTGACCAACAAAAATGATAAGGTTTAGAAAATCTGACCTCCGAGAAAGGGTTAAAAAAACAGGACATGTTTAGTCTTGATAAAAGAAGAGACCTGAGAAAAGTCTTCAAATATGTTAAGGTCTGTTATAAAGAGGATGGTGATCAATAGTTCTCCATGTCCACTGAAGATAAAACAGGAAGTAGCGGGCTTAACCTACAGCAAGGGTGATTTAGGTTAAATATTAGGAAAAACTTTCTAACTATAAGGGTGGTTAAGTTCTGGAATAAGTTTCCAAGGGAGGTCGTGGAATTCCCATCATTGGAGGTTTTTGAGAACAGACTGAACAAACACCTGTCAGAAATTGTTTAGGAGGTTTACTTGGTCCTGCCTCAGCACAGGGGACTGGACTAGATGACTTCTTGAGGTCCCTTCCAGTCCTCCAAGCAGTTAATGAAAATACTGAATTGTACTGGACCCAAGACAAACCCCTGTGATCTGATATGTCCCCCAGGTTTGACAGTGAACCACTGGATAACTACTCTGTGCACAAGATCAAATCCGCACAGACACACCCCTGGAACCCCGACCTGGGATATTCTATCTACTACCCAAGATCCATAAACCTGGAAATCCTGGGCGCCCCATCATCTCAGGCATTGGCACCCTGACAGCAGGATTGTCTGGCTATGTAGACTCCCTCCTCAGGCCCTACGCTACCAGCACTCCCAGCTACCTTCGAGACACCACTGACTTCCTGAGGAAACTTCAATCCATCGGTGATCTTCCTGATAACACCATCCTGGCTACTATGGATGTAGAAGCCCTCTACACCAACATTCCACACAAAGATGGACTACAAGCCGTCAAGAACACTATCCCCGATAATGTCACGGCTAACCTGGTGGCTGAACTTTGTGACTTTGTCCTTACCCATAACTATTTCACATTTGGGGACAATGTATACCTTCAGATCAGCGGCACTGCTATGGGTACCTGCATGGCCCCACAGTATGCCAACATTTTTATGGCTGATTTAGAACAACGCTTCCTCAGCTCTCGTCCCCTAAAGCCCCTACTCTACTTGCGCTATATTGATGACATCTTCATCATCTGGACCCATGGAAAAGAAGCCCTTGAGGAATTCCACCACGACTTCAACAATTTCCATCCCACCACCAACCTCAGCCTGGTCCAGTCCACACAAGAGATCCACTTCCTGGACACTACAGTGCTAATAAACAATGGCCACATAAACACCACCCTATACCGGAAACCTACTGACCGCTATTCCTACCTGCATGCCTCCAGCTTTCACCCTGACCACACCACACGATCCATCGTCTACAGCCAAGCTCTGCGATACAACCGCATTTGCTCCAACCCCTCAGACAGAGACAAACACCTACAAGATCTCTGTCAAGCTTTCTTACAACTACAATACCCACCTGCAGAAGTAAAGAAACAGATTGATAGAGCCAGAAGAGTTCCCAGAAGTTACCTACTACAGGACAGGCCTAACAAAGAAAATAACAGAACGCCACTAGCGGTCACCTTCAGCCCCCAACTAAAACCCCTCCAACGCATTATTAAGGATCTACAACCTATCCTAAAGGATGACCCAACACTCTCACAAGTCTTGGGAGACAGGCCAGTCCTTGCCTACAGACAGCCCCGCAACCTGAAGCAAATACTCACCAACAACCACATACCACACAACAGAACCACTAACCCAGGAACTTATCCTTGCAACAAAGCCCGTTGCCAATTGTGCCCACATATCTATTCAGGGGACACCATCACAGGGCCTAATAACATCAGCCACACTATCAGAGGCTCGTTCACCTGCACATCCACCAATGTGATATATGCCATCATGTGCCAGCAATGCCCCTCTGCCATGTACATTGGTCAAACTG